CCCCCCCCCCCCCCCATTCCCCCCCCCCCCCCCCCGCCAAAGACGTGGTGGAGACATACTCTAAAGTGACTATGATCAATCAAATTTCAGGACCTTAGAACTAGGCCATATACAAATAGAGAATAAGGCTTGTGAATGTTAGGGATGGAAAGGAAAAAACTGAAATAGCAATAAGAGTCTGAATCCATATAATGACAGCTAGGTCCTGAAAAGGAAAGCAGACTGGGGCCTAAGTTTTTAGTAACAGGATTTTAGTGGTCTCCAAGCAGCCGATAGAAAATGGTAGAATACAATCAACTAAACAACGTGTCTGAATAGTCACTCAATTGCATGTATGTCTCCGGTATCTTTCCAAAAGTTCATGTTTTTCAAGAATTGTTCAGAATGAAGAATGAGCATTTTAGGAATATTTCCCATGTTATGTTTTTGTACTTTTTCTCTTTTCCGCAAATATTAGGACCTGGTGTTCCGGTTGTGAGTGTGCACAGTACGAATAACCCTGAAAGTGAGTACACACCATTCCACTGGATTTCTTATTGCTGTCTCCCATTTTTACAAGTCAAAGGAAAAAAAATGCAGTTCATTTCTACAGACCTATCTTAATTATATTCTAGCAACAAACATGATTGTAAGTGATAAGAAGAGAAAGAAATTAATCAAGTGACTAGATGCTTGCCAAGATTTCTCAGATACATGTTATACTAGATGCATAGCTTTCATCTTCTATTTACACTGGAGTTAATTAGGTGGCAGGTTCTTCTTCACCTCTTCACTCACTATATAAATTATACTTTTATTATGATATGCCTTCTGATTTTTTTTTTAAATGTATTTTTAAAGTTTCAATCCAGTTATCTCGGAGAAAGATACAGATCTCTGAGTGCTACTCATCAAATTTGACCTACAGATAATAAGCCAAGTCCTGCTTTGCTTACACTTGTTCGAATTCAGAATGATTCCTATGGCACTTTCAATGGGCGATCCAAAAATAGAGTCTTTATGAGAGCATGCCCAGTACCTCTGTATTTCAAGTTTTACTTATTAAGAAGTATATGATGGGTCATATCTTCCATTGTTCCATTTTCACTTCTAGCCATGTTGTCTCTACCAACAGTCATAAACTCAAAGGACATGGCTTTATCAAAATGTCCCTCATGTAGAGGAACCTTCTGGTGGTGTAGGGCTCCGAATCAGTCAGCCTGGAAAGATCATGGAGCAGGTTCTGAAGGAATCCATTGTGAAATACTTAGAGGAGAACAAGGTGATCAGGAACAGTCAGCATGGATTCACCAAGAGCAAGTCATGCATGACCAACCTGATTTCTTTCTATGACAAAGTGACAGGCTTTGTGGATGAGGGGAGAGCAGTGGATGTGGCATGCCTTGACTTTAGAAAGGCTTTTGACACTGTCTCCTGCAGCACCCTCTTTAATAGCTTAAATAAATATAGACTAAATGAAAGTACTGTAAGGCAGAGATGTAACTGGTTGGATCATCATACTCAGCGAGTAGACCTCAATGGCTCAATGTCCAGTTGGGAGGAGGTATCAACCCCCTGAGGTTTGTCCTGGGTCCCATATTGTTCAGAATCTTCATTAATGATTTCTATGATGGGATTGAGTGCATGCTTAGTGAATTTGCAGGTGACAGAAAGATTGGTGGAATTGTAGACACACCAGAGGGTAGAGCTAAAATCCTGAATGATCTGGATAGACTGGTAAATGAGTCCACAATCAACCAAATGAGATTCAACAAGGACAAGTGCAAAAGTTTTTCACTTAGGACAGAATAACTGCTTGCAGAAATATAGACTGCAGAACGAATGGCTTGGCTGCAATACTGCAGTTAAGAACTTGGGGGTTATAGTGGACTATAAGCTGAATGTGAGCCAACAGTGTGCTCTTGGTGTAAAAAAAAAAAAAGCCAACAGCATCCTGGGTTGTATTAACAGGAATGTCACTTGTAAATCAAGGGAAGTGATTCTTCCCCTCTATTCAGCTCTGGTGAACAGTATTCTGGTGTGTCCAGTTTTGGGCCCCACATTTCCAGAAATATATGGACAATTTGGAAAAAAGTCCAGCATAGGGCAACAAAAATTACTAGGGGCCTTGGAGGCAAGTCTTATGAGGAAAGGGTGAAAGTAGTAGCATTATTTAGAAAAGACTAGGGGATAGGGGGTTGATAACAGTCTTCAGATACTCGACGGGTGGTTATAGAGAGGATGGAGATTCTCTTTTGTCTGTGGCTGTAAGGGACAGGACTAGGAGCAATGGCCTCAAACTTCAGCAGGGGAAATTAAGGATCTAGATTAGGAGGAACTTTTTGACTCTGAAGGTGGTCGGGCATTGCAATAGGCTACCTAGAGAAATTGTGGATTCTCCATGCTTGGAAACTGTTAGACCCCAACCCCATGCGGCACCCAACAACTAGGGAGACCACGATCCAATTGCCCATGGATCCTGTTACTCATTAGCCAGAGCAAGAAGGGAGCAAACACCAGCACACATTGCTTACAACAGTTTCATACAGAATGGAGACCGCTTTGGGCAAGCTCCCTCACAGACACACAGCCCGTGAAACCAGGGGAGCAGCAGTGAACATTAGTTCTTTCCACATTTTATACACCTTGGTTTCATACTTATTAACATTCACCCTGCCTATGTCCCTCCTGCAGTTCCACCCATTTCTCCTCCCATCTCAAGCTCTGCCTCTGTTCACTGTTTGCTTCATTAGCACGGTATTGCCTATGTATTTCATTCATTTACATGCTTCTTTGCTAAGAGCACATGCCTAAGACTTTGACCCCATCTCCTCCTGGTAAATTGTGATTTCTTGCTGGTTCTTTCTGGTTTCTTGCTGACTTCAGCATCATCTCCAAGGTCCTGCTTCTGCTTTATCTCCTAACAATAGCTGTTGGTTTGTATCCTGTTCTTACACAACACATCATGCAATTCGTACCCTATTCTTTTGTTAGGCAAGTGGTAACTTGCCCTTTCAGCATTTGCAAAGTTAGTTACTTTCAATATATCATCCTGCCTTGTGACCAGCAGCTTTTGGAAAAAGCTGGAAAAAGCCTTTATTCAGCTGGACACTCAGTGCTCCCCAAGATCCAAATATTGCTACCCTAACAGAAACTTTCAAAAGCAGGTTCGACAGACACTTGACTGGGAAGGCGTAATCAGAGGTGATCCTGCCTTGGGCAGGGGGGCTGGACTAGAAGGCCTTGTGAGGTTCCTTCCTGCCCTACTTGCCTATGATTCTGTGATCTTACAACAACCACCCTATCCACCTTCAGTACCAGTCAGCATACATGCGTGGGCTAAGTGTAGCAGGATATCCCACCAATTAAGTAATTTCCTGCTCTGCAAGGCAATGGCCAACTGCCATTACCTCAATCTATCTTTAAACTGCTTTTACTTATGTGGGAGGTCCAGGATAGTGCAAATTGTCCTCAGGAACATAGAGTTCAAAGCCCATTTTCCTTAGGGCTTGTGCCTGGCACCCTGCCGCAGAAGATCTTGTTACACATCTAAAAATGTCTTACTAGCAAAACTTCCAAATACAACAATATCTGCAGCATCTTGATAGTCTTTTTAAAATTAAGTAGATTAGTATAATCAGCATCTTCCCCTCATCCTTCATATTTTTAATATAGCTCTTTTCAGTAGTTGCAAAACTCACTACTGCAGAAAACTGAAAGGTGGAGTTTTATCTAACGTGATCTAAAGGCCAGGTATTGTTCAGTGGAAATTCATTAACTTTACCCAGTGTTTGTGAGCATAGAAACTGGCTCAGTATTATTTGTATCAAAAATTCCCATTTGTGACAAACCAGAGTAAAAATGTAAGAAGGATTTATGTCGGGCATTTTGGAAGGGAGACAAGGCAGTATATCTAGAGAGAGATTGTGTACTAGTAACAACAACAAAAAGAAAACAGTAATGAGAATTATGATTTATCCATAATTTTTCAGTGCAGGATTAGATAATCCCCTTTATATAATACAACAGTGAGAGCATGATTAAAGATTACTTCAATTTTTATATCCTAAAACTATAATTATAGAACATCTTGATCAACTGCCTGAATTAGCATTCCAATAGCCGTGTGTAGACGAAACGAGAGTCCTGTGTGCATGACACTTTAAAGTGGGCTAAATGCTTTTGCACCACTTTAATGGTGTCAGTGTTTGCATGCCTCAGCAGCGTATGGCGCATTAATTCCAGCCACTGTAGGAAATTCAGTGGTGTAATGTGCCTTACATGACTTGGGGTGCTGCAAACTAAAATTTATCTGAGGAGTTTTAGTTTGCTGCCCTACAGCCATGGGGTGAAGCACCGGCCTCCGTGCAGCTCCTTGGCTCTGCAGGAAGCCCTGCAGGCAGCCTGGTAGCAGCCCGGGAAGGCAGGCTCCACCCAATAAAAGCGGGGAGCCAGATCTTTTTTTTCCCCTGGAGCCTGCCTGCCTGAGCTGCGCGGAGGCCCAGTGCTTCCCTCCATGGCTGCGGTGCCCCCCAGGACCACCCAAGCTGGGTGCCTACAGGTAGGTGCTGCCTGCGGGGGGCTGCCGCTGCCACAGAGGGAAGCACAGGCCTCCCCCCACCCCACACAGCCTAGGGACCGCTTTGCCCACAGCTCACCTTCCCTCCTCACCAGAGAGGCAGGTAAGTCAGTGGGGTGTGTGCGTGACATGGGGGGGTGTAATCAGCCCTAAATTAAAGAAGTGTTTTTTAAAACCCACTGCTTCAGTTTAGGGCCCCTGTTTTGTCTACTCCTGCCCCTATAGTTAGATTATCATTTACTGTCCCAAATGAGGATATATGATTTTAAAAATCCACATTAAAGTAGTGAGGTTAGGAAAGAAGAAGAGCAAGCAATCTTTCACCCAAGTGCAAAAGGATTGCTTCAAAACTTGTTGCAGTTTTATCCAAGTTGTGTTCTTGCACCGTGCTAAATGGTGTGAGAGAGAAAGCATTCAGTGAAGTGGCCTTATGTAAAGGTGTCTTGGGTACTACTCCCTTACTGAACAACAGCCTGTAAAATGTCTGAGAGAGTGGTGAAAGGAACAGGCTTCTTACATCTGGTCCTAAAAGTTATACTGTTTACTCTCCCAGGTCCCTTTCCTGGTTCCTTTTATGAAGTATCCATTTTGGGAAGTCTTTTGATCATGGGCTCTGGGGCCCTAAAATATTCCTCAAAAAAATCAGTCTGTCCTAAATAACCATCAGCTCCCAGTAGGTTTCATAAACAGTAGCAGGGGACCAGACTTGATGATCTTATAGGTCCCTTCTGGTCCTTCTTTCGGTGATTCTAGTTAGTAACTGCATTGAACTGGATGCTACAGTAGGCAGAGGAGAGGGTGTGTATCTCTCTTTCCACTTAGCACACCAATGCACCATAAGGCAACGTCTTTAATATCTAGTGAAAACAGAGGCTGCTGAAGCCAGAACACAGAATAGATGCATCTTTTGAATTAAGCGGATTGCTTGGTTTTTTAGTGGCAAAGATGTCTCCTTATAAAACATATTGAAAGAAGGAATTTATTAATAGTTTTAACATCATAAATATTTCTCTCTCCCTTTGTTTTTTTGTTGGTATATTACTTTATGTCTTGTACAGTAATTTATTGTACTTTCTATTCTGCTGTCTCTTGTTGTTTTCTACAGATTTTCACATATTGGAAAGTAACGTTGTGTTGAAAGAAGCTACTTTGAAAAAAAAACATTTCCGGAGAGAAATCAAAATGCTTCACATTGAGGACTACGGTAAATTTAGCAAAATGTTATTTTCACAAACCCCAACTTTCTGCAACTATTACTATTTTTCATCTGTGTAACTACCAGCCTTTAATGTTTTGCTCTTTTCTTAAAAGAACTTCCTTTACAGTTGTCACTTCCAAAGGATTTCACAGATCGAAACCAGTATGCTCTTCTGTTACTAATGTGAGTATCCAGGATCATTACAAACAATAATTAAAGTAGGGAAATGGGGATATTTAGAAAGTGTTCAGATCTCTTTCTTTTGTAAGTGTAAATCTGTATTGATGTTTGTGTAGGTGTAAGGAAAAATATTACTTTCTTTACAGCCAAGTTCTTGTGTTGATAAATCAAAAGTGTGACCTGGGAAGACGCTATTTTATGTGTTTTGTTGTAAAGAAAACTTGTGAACTTGTGTGCATAAATGCACATCAAGTTATGTATCCATGAAGGCGCAGGGATTCAACTGGTGTAACTGGTAGTAGTTTTCCTGTCTTTCATGGAGCCAAATGGGTTTACACGTTCCCTGAGAACCTGAAGTGTGGTCTTCTGTTAAGTCACTGATAACACAGATAGGATTTGTAAGCCGTGCCTGGGCTCCTAGTGCAGAACTCAGTTTGGAGTAGGTGAGAGGTGTACTATTTGTACAGCAGTGGCTGGGGATATTATGGGCATGTTACAAAGTCCTTGGAGATCAGTAGAAAGTCTTTGTGGGAAGAAGGTATTCACTGGCAGCCTGTGCTATATTTGTAGGAAGCAACCTAGCTTGTTTTTCTTTCAAAGCCAACCTTCTTTATTTGCTTCTAGGGAGGATGTTTGGGGTGGAGAAAAGAAATCATCATCCTCCCTCCAATGTGCTTAGATAAGTCTAATGTCTTCAATACTTCCCCCAACTTGTTTTACTAGGTTTTTTTCTCAGGGACTGATGGGTGCCGGATGAGATAGGGAAGAGGTTTCCTGTATATGCAATCCTCTCCTTTCATATATTTAGTTTCAGGCAGCTATGATTCAGCCCAGGATACATAATTAGCCATATTTAATTCTTTCACTCATTGGTAATTCCTGACGTATATTACTGGTAAAAAGCAGCCACGTTAGAAAAAAGTCTGACTTAAGGGCTTACTGTAAGAGTTGAGAAGTTGGGGATATCTTTTTTCCCACTGGTGCCCCTAGACTGGATTTGAAATTCTTAACAAACGTGGGAGTGTATTTATACTGCTTGCATTATGACATTGAACCTTTTTAGCCTTGGGGTAGATATCCCATCAGCTCTTTGTGGATAGAATTAATAGTGTGAATCTTATTAACAGGAATGGAGGGGAGGAAATCAATACTCCTTTATAGCTATGGTTTCTATTCACATGGTTGAAAATGTAACCCCCAATGAGATTTTAAATTATGTGACTGGCTGAAATGTGCTTCCTTTTAATGGTAATGACCAAAGTTTCATAGTTTCTAGGGTCGGAAGGAACCTGAACAGATCATCGAGTCCGACCCCCTGCCCTGGCAGGAAAGAGTACTGGGGTCAAACGACCCCAGCAAGCTGTACATCTAGCCTCCTCTTAAAGGACTCACAATTATTCTTACAAGACCAAATTTTCTTCTAAATAAGCTCTCCAGAATTATTATATTTGATCATTCTGTTTGGTTCTTAGGTGTTGCTTTGTAAACAGGCAATAAAAAAAAATACTGATTTGGCAGCCAAATTTGTGATGCAAGTGCCTATGTTGGAAAACTGGAACTACGTTTAAACTGAACCAATGACTGAATCTCTAACTTCAGTAGTTTTTACAGATACTTTGTCTTATGAGACGAGGGAGAGAAGAGTGTTTGGTAGTGCACATTATGAAGCGTATTTAGATCGTAGGGAGTTGGGAAGGATCAACAGACTCCATAATTTGAAGGCCAGTGGAATTTTAACATATAGTCACAAAAAAAATTTTTTTTTCTTTTCCTGAAAATCAGGGAACTTAGAGAGATGTTTGGAATTTAGAAAGTGTCTTTCAAGAAGAGTTCATTATATAAGTTTTCATAGATTTCATAGACATTGGGGCTGGAAGGGACCTTGGAAGATCATCGAGTCCAGCCGCCTACCCAAAGGGCAGGAAGTCAGCTGGGGTCATAGGATCCCAGCAAGATAAGCATCCAATTTCTCTTGAAGGTGTTCAGTGTAGGTGCTTGAACCACCTCCGATGGCAGGATGTTCCAGACCTTGGGCGCTCGGACAGTAAAGAAATTCTTCCTTATGTCCAGTCTGAAATGGTCTCGCAGTAGTTTATGACCATTCGACCTTGTCATCCCTTGGGGCGCTCTGGTGAACAAACGTTCCCCCAGATCCTGGTGGTCACCCCTGATAAACTTATAGGTGGCCATCAGATCACCCCTGAGCCTGCGCTTTTCCAGTAAAGAGCCCCATGGCTCTCAGCCTGTCGTCATAAGGTCTGCTTTTCTGACCTCTGATCATGTGCATGGCTCTTCTCTGCACTCTCTCAAGCTTCTCCACATCGTTTTTTAATTGTGGGGCCCAAAACTGGACGCAGTACTCCAGTTGCAGCCTCACCAAGGCCGAGTACAAGGGGAGAATGACGTCCCGGGATTTTGCTTGAGAAGCATCTGTGGATGGAAGCCAGCGTTTTGGTCACTTTAGTAGCCGCAGCATTGCATTGCAGGCTCATGTTCATCTTGTGGTCAATGGTGACCCCCAAGTCTCTTTCTTCCGTAGTGCTAGCCAGCATAGCACTGCCGAGCCTATAAGGATGCTGCAGGTTTTTCTTTCCAAGGTGAAGAACCTTGCATTTTTTGGTCTTAAATGTATTGACAACATATATTTAATTATCTGTGAAATCATACAGTGAGCCAGAAGACAGCAAAGGAGAAGGATATATTGCACATTAATAAAAATCTGAGGAACACAAAAGAGAAGGTCCTTCCATAACTGGGCATCCTTTATATATATGAAAACAGAGCTTGGGAGAATTTTAGAGTGTTTCTTCTGCAGAAGTTCGGTTTGCCCAGGGTGATACTAAGGCAGTATTTGAGTTCTGGCCTTGTCAAGGTTAGAGATCTATGTAAGTCCCAGTGAGCAGGCTGTCAACAATACCTTAATGCTACCAAATAATTATGCCTGGAAAGTCATTATGTTGTAGCTTTTTCAAGTGGGAAGGAAAATGCCACATTGACAAATACAAATTGTAGTCTCTCTGGCTTCGTAATACTGAATTTCTGCTTCTTTTCAGCTTAATCCCCTCCTTTTACTGTGCTGAATTCTCAGCATTCTGTTAACAGGAGATATATTTAGAAATCCCTCCACATGGTAATGAAAAGTCAATACTGGCAGTCTGACATGAGACCTGCTCTAGTTCATTTAATGTTGCTCATCTTCCCATCCCCCTAAAGAAGGAAAACCAATATTCCACAGCTCATCTTGATAGAAACTCTGAATTTAGTTCACCAAATCCCTTCTTATTGTTTCAGATGAACCAGAGTGGGGCCTGAGGGTTTGGAAATCCCACTGGAGTTGGTGTGGGTTCTGTCTGTGGGACAGTTGCCACACTGGGCACATCTACATGAAATACTGATTTGCACACTAATTTGCTGGGCAGTAAAGTGCTACTGTCTGCACATGTGCAGCAGTTAGGGTGCAGTAAACTAATTGACTGTGCTGCTGGATAGTCCTATCAGATACAAGTGTTATCCAGCAGCATGTGCAAACAGCAGCATGTGCAACAGTATGTGCAAATGCATGTGTAAACAGTGATGTTGGGATTAGTTTACTTTGACCCAAATTTAGCCAGAATATAGTTGTATAAATTGCATGTGTAGATGTGTCCACAGGCTACATCCAGGCAAGCACGGGCATGCGGTATTTGGCGCTGAAGGCCCATCTGTGGCACCACACATCACACATGCAGGCAGCTCAGGGAGGGTTTTTGGCCCTGGGAAATCGTGGGGGCAAAAAAAAAAGCAGGGTGGCACAGGTAAGGCCGCTGGGACCAGCACAGTTGCTGGTCTTGGCTTACCCTGCCCCACCCAGGGTGACCTCCCACACTCCAGAGGACACACGGCACGGGCACAAGGTGTGCCACTGCTACTTGTCCCCAGGGAAACAAATATCCGTGCTTGTGTGAACGCAGCCACTGAGTCCAAGATTTGCAGGCAAATCGTTGGTCGGGCCAGTCCTTAAACTGGAAGAGTTATATGTCTGTATGCATGCTGGGTATTTTAACCATCTGACCTACCTGGCCAATGACATCTTCCTTCTTTTCACTACCTGAATAACACCTCCCAAAAGCAATACTGTACTTCCACGAGAGATATCAGGCAATTTGAGATAGAGCCGATTAGCCAATTGGTTGAAAACATGATGTCATGCATCCTGCCCTTGGAGTGGTACTTGTATGACTGACTTAGAAACACCATCTCCCTTCTGAAGCCCTGGTAGGATTCTTCCATGAGCAGATCATTTTAATGGCAAATAAGCAAAGCAACTTTTCAAGGCTGCTGACCAGCCATACTGCTTTCTTGCCCATGGTCTCAAAGGTGATATAGGGTCATGTAGGTGCTAGAAGGAAAAACTGAATGTTTGTGACTGATAACGTTGGTAATAATGCTTTGTTGTCTTCCTCTTTCTTTCCAAAGAAAAATATTTATGGAGCCCTGTTACAGTTTGAAACACTGAGGTGTCATTTGACTTGTAATCATCTGTACTTATGAAACGGCTTAAAGCGCTTACATCAGCAAGGTTGCAATATGCAAATGAAAACAGAGGGAGAAGGGAAAGAAGAATTTAAGAGAAATAATAGGGTCACTTGATGTATCACTACTCTGGGGCCAAGCTGTCTGCGGTTAATTGTGTATTTAAAACTTGCTTACCAGCTGCTAATGATGCAGATTTCTGGTCTTCTTTCTGGGGAGGGGTGGTGTCTGGCCTACAATATGCCTGTGGGGTCCAGTCTAGCTATATGTGTTGTCCCAGGATTTCTGTCTGGATTCTCTTCTCATGGTTGGGCCTTGGAGACTTGCATCCTTGGCTCAGAGATAAGTGTATTTTATAAATCATGACTGGATTGTATGCCCTTGTAGGGCAGGAGACAATTTTTACTTTGTACAATGCTGCCCTGGTAAGGCACCATCCTAATATCAGAATTTGGAGAAAACTAACATTGCTTCCTTTGCTGTGAAATAAT